TAACATGGACTCACTCTAACACAGACTCACTGTAGCACTGACTCACTGTAACATTAACTCACTCTAACACTGATTCACTGTAACACTAACTCATTCTAACACTGACTCATTATAACACTGACTCACTCTAACACTAACTCACTATAACACTGACCCAATGTAACACTGACTCACTGTAACACGGACTCACTGAAACACAGACTCACTCTAACACTGACGCCCTCCAATACTGACTCACCGAAACACTGACTCACTGTAACACTGACTCACTGTAACACTGACTCACTCTGACACTGACTCACTCTAACACTGACTCACTGTAACACTAACTCACTCTAACACTGACTCACTATAACACAGACTCAATGTAACACTGACTCACTGTAACACTGAGTCACTAAAACAATGACTCACTGAAACACTGACTCACTGTAACATGGACTCACTCTAACACTGACTCACTGTAACACTGACTCACTAACATGGACTCACTGTAACACTGACTCACTAACACGGACTCACTGCAACACTGATCCACTCTAACACTGACTCACTGTAACACTGATTCACTGTAACATGGACTCACTGAAACACTGACTCACTGAAACAATGACTCACTGAAACACAGACTCACTCTAACACTGACTCCCTCTAATACTGACTCACTGTAAGATGGACTTATTGCAATACTAACTCACTGTAACACTAATGCATTGTCACACTAACACACTGTTACACATTGACCTAAGCAAAAGTTCTGAGGGACAATCCCAATAAGACCTGTGGAAACTCAGTGGGCAATAATGAAAAACCGACATTAAAACAAGCTGAAAACAACTACCGGGTAAACTTTTGAGAAAGCTTTTATCTTTGCACACTGTTTTTTTTTCTTATTTCCTTGGTAACTGAAAGGTCATCAGGACACTTTTAAGTTAACTGGTTTTAAAAATGACCTTCCTTAGAATAGATAACTTTACTAGTTGGCTTTTATGTATGTGAATGTTTCTGTAAAGTGCCCTGAGACAACTTTGTTGTGATTTGGTGCTTTATAAATGAATTGAATTGAATTGAATTATTTAAATAAAGTTTTTGAAACAACAAAGTTGTCTATATCAAACAACTGGTTGTGTGTCTGTGTTCAGTCTGAACATGAGACATTAAAAACTCTTTGTGATCTAATCACACAAACACATTTTTCTTGTTGGGTGTTGATATCCTTGCTGTCAGTGAATAGGGGTGTAAATCACCAGCTTTATCACGATACGATATTATATTGATTTGTTTGTATGACGATACGATTTTTCTTGATATCACAAAGTCTGTCACGATACGATTTTGATTCTATTCGATTCACAAGTCTGCGATCGATATATTGCGATATCAAATGCCCATCTCATTTGTATATAAATACATTTACAAAAACAATTCAAATATGATATAACCATTTCATTTCTGTTATTAAGGCACCAGGCATTTAAATAAAAAATCATTTTTTCTTAATTAATGAAAAAATAAAAATAAATGACTTGTTCAGTAAAGTCTCATATTTTTCATGTTTAAGTGCATTTTTTAAACCAGTTAACTTAAAAGTGACCTGATAACCTTTCAGTTACAAAGAAACTAAAGCAGATATTGAGCTCACATAACATCAATGTTGTGTTTGTTCTTCAGGTGAACGGACATATTTGTTGTTTCCTGAGTATTTGAGCTCACACGTCACCTGTTGCACACGACACGAGTTCTTCTGTTGGAATTAAAACATTTCCACACAGTTGATTTAAATCCAGCGTGAGAGTGAATTTCATTTCTGTGTTTTCTGCCTCGTCGGCCATGTTGCTGAGGCGGCTGCAGAGCGCAGTCGCGCACGGAAGTGGTGACACAGAAGTGCCTTGGGAATTTCAAAATAAAAGCGTATTTTAAAGATGACGATATGAATCGATGTTTTAGTTTTGCCACGATATAATTGAATCATTGATCATTTAATCGATATATCGATGTAAATCTATGTTTTGTTACACCCCATCAGTGAAAGCACTGCCTAGCTTCTTTGTGTGTTTGATTATTGGCTACATGATTTACTGTTGTTGTTGTTTTACTCATGATTGTTTACTTGTTTTCCCTGTAGAAACCGGCCAATCAGAAAGCCCTAACCAGGCCAACGACTCAGATGTCAAGGAGCAGCCGGAGAACGGTGAGACATACAAACAGATGAGCGCGCACGCACACACACACACACACGCACGCGCCCGTGTGTGTGTTAGACCCTGACCTGAGTTCAGCTACGTGCAGTCAGACACAGCTGGTTCTAATGTTCCTCCTCTGAAAACCCAGAGTTTGTTTCTTCTCTGAACGCCCAGCTGATCCTGACAGAGCTCTGACGTGGTTCTGTGGGTCCATGAGGTTCTGGTTCTGTGGGTCCATGAGGTTCTGGTTCTGTGGGTCCATGAGGTTCTGGTTTTGTGGGTCCATGAGGTTCTGTGAGCTCTAGAATAATGACTGTTATCACAGCTGTTCTGTCTGAGGGATCACGACTGTAATCCTCCAGGTTCTTTGAGAGGTTCCCTGTTCTTCAGACGGAGAACCTTTCACCATCCACACAGGATGTTTACAAAATATCCCAGAATGCATTGCAGCAGGAAGCTGACCACTGATTCAGATCCACTGATCTAAAATCACACAACTTGTGGATCATGACCTTTCATCAGTTCTAGATTACGGGTTCTTGATCAGACGTGAATCTTTAGTTTTAGTTCAGGAGTTTTGGATCTGTGCTTCTGGATTAGGGGTTCTGAATAAAGAGGTTGGATCACGACAGGAGGTCCACGGTTTTTCATTCAACCTTTATTTCTACAGGTTAGTCTCATTGAGCCTCGAGGACTCAGTGAAGTACTTTGTATTTTCACTCATTGTCTCTACTTTTGTTGTTCAAGTTAGAAATGTGGTTTTGTTTCTTGTTCAGATATATTTTTTATTATTTTTAGCTTTGATTTAAAGTTTAATTCTTGTTTTATGATTTGTACATCTGTGGATTAGAATAAAGTTGAACTAAAGGCTGTAGCTCTTCTTTATTTGAGGGAAATATTCCTGAGATCCAATAATTTTGTGTTTTTATGATTTTTCAGCTGAGTTAACTTTAACAGATTATTAAATAGTCATTAAAATGAAAACAGGATTTCATGGTAAACCCGGCACCGTTTTTTTTTTTAAATCTTCACTGATTAAAAAAATGTATACACAAAATATGCTGGTGAAGATTCTCAGTCATCCAGGACATGATGAATTCAAAAAGCTTTCAATACAAAAACAACTGGACTTTATTTGTAACAGAAGACGTTTCGCTCCTCATCCGAGGAGCTTTCTCAATTCAAAGAGCAGAGAGTGAGAGATACAGGTCATAAGGCTGAGTGAGATAAGACACACACACACATATATGTATATTGGCAGTTCACACCTAAACAACTTTAACAGTAAGAGTCTTTTGTTCCTCTAATTCACAGTCGAGGCCCCTCTGTTCCCATCAGGTGTGAAAACCAGCTGGGAATCTGTTTTAAAGTTGCATTATATGTTTTTGAAAGTGGGAATCTGAGGCCTCCTCCTCTGTTAAGAGATGGTTTTTCTCTTTTTACATAAATTGCTTCCTTCACCCCCCTCTCAAACCATCTGTGTTCTCGGTTCAAAATGTGCACATTTTGGTCCTCAAAAGAGTGTCCCTTATCTGTGAGGTGGAGGTGAACAGCTGGATCTTGTCCAGAGGAGGTGGCTCTCCTGTATACACAAAATGATTTTAAAAATCGTTTCCACCCTCTGTCCCAGATCCGTCCCGGTCCGCCCGTCTGCTGGGAACGGGGTTCGGCCTTCATGAGCAGGCGAGGCCGTGGTCCGGGCAACGGCCTTCTGTGAGTCAGCAGCTCGTATGATCCTCTGTGGGGACCAGCGGAGCTCGGAGCCGGGGAGATGACGCCCTGCCCGGCCTGAGGGGGCTCCAATGCTCCAGTGGGACCGGCGGAGCTTCATGTAGCTCGTTCTGATTTTTATCGTCGTCCAACCAAACACAAAAACCACCTGCGCTTCAGCGTTAGACCACGGTGATGTCATTACTGTTTTTAAAATCTGTGGTCCAGCCGCTCCTTGAGTTCGAACACCGGTAATTGTAAATGGCAGATTGAAAGTTGTGAAATTTCTCAAACCGCCAGTGACCTGGCGACAGTGACAGTGACCTGCCTTCAGGTCTGGAAACTCAGAGGAGCTGAGTAGGACAAGAAAAGAGCTGGTTGCTGGTATTAAGAGGGCCAAGGCCACATATGCACAGAGGATCGAGGGTCAATTCATCTCACAAGACCCTCGGAGCATGTGGAGGGGCATTAAGTGCATAACAGATTATAAAGGAAGGAGTGAACAATGCCCCAAAGACCCATCTCTGCCTGATGCCCTCAACAAGTTCTATGCATGCATTGAAGACCCGAATAGACCACCCACCACCAGACTCACCTCACCACCGGATGAAGAGCATCTCAGTGTGATCTCAGCAGAAGTAAGGAGTACCTTCAGGAGGATTAACCCTCACAAGGCAACTGGCCCAGACAACATCCCCGGAAAAGTGTTGAAGGAATGTGCCGATCAGCTCTGTGAGATGCTGGCAGACATCTTTAACACCTCACTTACCCTGGAGACAGTTCCCACCTGCCTGAAGACTGCCACCATCATCCCAGTCCCAAAAAGCTCTACAGTGACTGGTCTGAATGACTATCGGCCAGTGGCCCTCACCCTGATAGTCGCTAAATGCTTCGAAAAACTGGTCATGACTCACATCAAAACAACCATCAACATCAACGAGGACCCTCATCAGTATGCATACCGTGAGAACCGATAAACAGAGGACGCCATCTCCTCTGTGGTCCACACTGCGCTCAACCACCTGGAGCAGAAGAACTCTTACGTCCGTATGCTCTTTGTGGACTTCACATCCGCCTTCAACACCATGATCCCCCAAACCCTGATGGACAAACTATCTACACTAGGACTAAGCCCCTCCATCTGCAACTGGGTACTAGACTTTTTAACAAACAGACCACAGTCAGTGAGGATCCACAACTTCTCCTCCTCCACCATAACCCTCAGCACTGGCTCTCCTCAGGGATGTGTGTTGAGCCCCCTCCTGTTTACTCTGCTCACATATGATTGTGCAGCTACCCATCCAGGCTGTCACATTGTAAAGTTTGCAGATGATACAGTGGTGGTGGGATGCATCACAAACAATGATGAGTCCAGCTACAGGCAAGAGGTGGAACACCTGGAGAGCTGGTGCAGAGAGAATAACCTTCACATCAATGTGAAGAAGACAAAGGAGATGATTGTGGACTTCAGAAGGAACAAAAACATCTACACCCCCCTGAACATAAGAGGATCTGTGGTGGAAGTGGTCTCCAGCTACAAGTACTTGGGTGTACACATGAATGACAACCTCAGCTGGAGCACCAACACCACCAGCCTGATCAAGAAAGCTCATCAGAGACTCTACTTCCTCAGACGGCTGAGACGAGCTGGTCTGGAAGCTCAGTCCTCACCTCCTTCTACAGGTGTGCAGTGGAGAGCATCCTGTGCTCCAGCATCAACGTGTGGCATGGAGGCTGCACAGCTGCAGAAAGAAAAGCTCTGCAGAGAGTGGTGAAGGCTGCACAGAAGATGTTGGAGTCATCCTCCCCACCATCACAGACATCTACACCTCCAGATGCAGGAAGAGGGCCACCTGCATCATGAAGGACCACACTCACCCAGCACACACACTTTTCCTCCACTCCCCTCAGGAAGGACGTTGAGGAGCATTAAGTGTAGAACCACTAGACTGAGGAACAGCTTCTACCCTGAGGCTGTTAGACTCATGAATCTCTGACCAGAATAATCACTGTGAAAAACCACATCATGTTGCTGCTGATCTGTTTCATGTTGCTGCTGATCTGTTTCATGTTGCTGCTGATCTGTTTCATATTGCTGCTGATCAGTTTCATGTTGCTGCTGATCTGTTTCAATGTTGATGTGTTCATGCGTGCACATCTGCTCACAGACTCATGTTCATGTTTGTGCTGATGTTCAATGTTTTATGTTACGAGTGCTTAGTGTATATTTAGTTGATGCATTTCTTAGTTCATATCTTAGATGTTATTACTGTTTTTCTTATACATTTTATTGTTGGATGTAACTGGGACCATGTGTACATAATTTCGCTCCACCACATGTACCACATGAGGTGCGAATGACAATGAAGAATCTCTGACTCTGAACAATCAGTGACCAACAGTGTTCTGACGTCACGTTTTGGTACCTGCTTGGCCCGGTTGGAACCCCATAGAAAAGGGTTCTGACAACAGGAACCGGTTCTACGTACCGTTACTAATGGAAAAACCTTAGAACCGTGCTGAGTCGAGTCGTGCTGTACCGTTACTAAAGGAGAAGGGGTATTATATTGTAGCCTCTGGCCACAGGTCCAGGTAAATTCTGTTGTTCTCCATGGATGACCTCATCATTGTGCTCCTCCCCCTCAGGTCACCTGGGCTTCCAGGACAGCTTCGTCACACCTGGAGTCTTCACCGTGGCCGAGCTCGTCCGCGTCTCACAGAGTGAGTCAAACTTTTCTTCTGACTTCAGACTCGGAGAAGCTCCTGAAGCGCTCGGGCTCTCTGGCGCCCCCTACAGGCCGATCTTCAGATGTTCAGATCATCTGTTGTCCTGCACCTTTCAAAGCCCAGACACAAAAAACTGATTCTGTTTTCAGTTCCTGTTTGTCAAGAGGAGGAAACACACATGCACACACACACACAGACACACACTGACACACACACACACTTACACACACAGACAGACACACACACACACTAACACAAACACACACAGACACACACACACACTGACACACAGATACACACTTACACACACAGACAGACACACACACACACAGACACACACAGACACACACACACAGACACACACACACAGACAGACAGACACACACACACACAGACAGACACACACACACTGACACACACACACACACACACAGACAGACACACACACACTGACACACACACACACACAGACAGACACACACACACACAGACAGACACACACACACTTTTAGTTTCCCTGCTGGCTGTGAGTTTGTGTCAGTCAGCAGATTCTCGGTGATGCGGCGCTGGAAGAATCACTTATGGATTAGAGTGCAGGAGTGTGCATGGTGCATGCACTGTTTGTGTGTGTGTGTGTGTGTGGCAGCATCAACCTGTTTGAATCCTGTAAACTGCTTTATTTCCAGATGTCTTACTTCTTCCTGTTGAGTTTCTGGATGGTTAGGTTTGTGTTTGAACTTTCTGGTTTTGTCCAGGTTGTTCTGATCTACCTGGGTCCAGGTGGGTCCAGGTGGGTCCCACTTCCTTCCTGCTGTTTTATCAACACCAAACACTTCAGCAAAGTTTGATTCTGATCAAAAAATCATTTCCTGTTTGGTTAGTCTTTAAGAGTGAACACACTCGTCCAGGGGTCTGCAGTGGGCTGGAAGCACACACACACACACACACACACACACCCAGCGGGTGACCTTGGCGTTGTGCAGCCATTACACAATTCACTGGCAGACCAATGAAATCTCTCTGTCGATCAATATCCTATTAAAGCAGCACACAAAGTGTGTGTGTGTGTGTGGCCTCCTTGTACCAGATGCAGCTGGTCACTTCAGCATGTTTCTGCTCACTGACTTCTGCAGCTCGTTGTCTCTTCTTCCGGTTTTGTTTGTGGAACCAGAACTGGTTCTGAGGTCTCTGTGGACCCAGATCCAGTCTCGGATGGGGATCTAAGTACCAGGCGTGCACGTTGGCACAGAAACACACACACTTGCTCTGCTGCTGGGTTGTAAACAGATCAGAATGACCCACTTGGCTCAGATCTCCTCCATCCCTCCTCCTTCTTGGCCTCGACCCCCCCCGACACACCTGGTCAGGTGCCAGCAGCAGATGGGCTCCGTAGCCCGACAGACTCAAAAACAGATTCATTCATCAGAACTATCAAAGCAGCTCTGAAATGAGGAGCAACACAGAGACATGCAGAGCAAACTTAGACTTAGTCCAGGATCCAAGTTCCAAATGGGACCTTCCAGAGCCCGTTTAAGGTTGTGACTCAGAGAAATGTTCAGAGTGATCCATCAGGTTCTACCTGGACCTGCTGCACAAACTCTGACCTATTATATTACTGTGAACACAGGGAGTTACAAACACCACGGCCTCCTACGTACAACACCTGTTCATTAAACCTGTCATTAGCTCCGCCTACAGACCACATCTGTTCATTGAACACATCACTTAGCT